TGGTACTGAACTGCTCTTAGGCCTTAATGACTCCCAAACCAATTTAACAGAATACCTTGGCATTATAGAATTATTCCAATAGACCTTGCCATCATTCAAACTGAAAATGCGAGGAAGTTTACCTCGTAGCTTTAGCAGCCTCTTCCAATTCCAAGAACCATCTACATTGATCTCCCAGAAACTCCTCCCTTTCAGCTTGTAGGCCATTATCCAGGCCACCCATAGGGAACCCTGCTGTAGCATGATTGTCCAAATTTGACGACAAACACAGGCATTATTCCAGGCAAACATGTCTCTCAGGCCCAATCCTCCCTCTTTCTTGGGATAAGTCAGGTATTTCCATGCAATCTTCGCTTTAAGTCTCTGCCCTTCACCCACATCCCACAGAAAGTTGCTACAGATCCTTTCAATCTCTCTAAGAACTTGCTTAGGAATAGAGAATACACTCATCCAATATTGAATGATATTGTATAACATTGAACTCACCAACTCAACTTTCCCTGCATAGGTCAGAGACTTTGCCTTCCACCCTGTTATCCGAGCTATAAGCTTACCAATCAATGATTTACAGGCTGCCACTGTCAACTTCCCTGAGATCAGTGGTACTCCCAAATAACGGAAAGGGAAGTTACCCAATTGATACCCAAATCTCTGAGCTCTTACTAACATTTCATCCTTTTCCATCCCACCAAAGTACACCTCACATTTGCTTGGATTAGATTTCAGACCTGATAACCTATAAAACTCTGCTAGCACATTTTGCACACTCTGCAATCCACGATTGGAACCATCAGAAAACACCAACAAATCATCCGCAAAGCATAGATGAGTAAGCCTTATTTTTTTTACACATTGGATGATAGGGAAAGGTTTCTTTCACTACTTCTCTATCCATGAGACAAGTAAAGATTTCCATTGCAACTACAAGCAAGTAAGGAGACATCGGATCCCCCCTGCCTCAAACCCTGCTTCGAAGGAAAATACCCTACCAATCCTCTATTGAATGAGATACTCAGCATAGGTTCAGTCACACACATTCTAATACATTCTATAAACTCCACTGGGATCCCCATTGGCTCAAGAACATTAAACAAAAACAACCAGTTGACTGAGTCAAAAGCTTTCATTAGGTCAATCTTAAGAGCTTACCTATATGACACATTCTTCCTCGCATATTTTGACACCAATTCATGAGCCAATAACACATTTTCTCCAATTAATCTACCTCTTACAAACGCAGTCTGATTCTTACTAATCAAAAAAGGAAGCAGAGCACTAAACCTTTTGGCAATTATCTTCAACAAGCATTTGTAAAGAGTATTACAGCACGAAATAGGCCTGAAGTTTTTCATTTCTTCAGGATTAGGGACTTTTGGTATTAGAGCTAGGATAGTAGAATTTACCTCTCGAGGTATGGTCTTTGTGACAAAGCAGTATTGTATTGCTGCAACAACATCAGCACCAACAGTTTCCCAAGCATACTGAAAGAACCTCGCATTATAACCATCTGGCCCTGGACTCTTATCCCCTTTCATTCCAAACATTACTTCCTTAACCTCATCTTCTGTTATAGGAGCACAGAGAGAGGCAATTTGCATATTGCTTACTGTATGCTTTAATATAGACTTAAAGAACTCTACAGTACCCCCTTTAACCTCTATATTAACCTGTCCCAGTAGCTTTTTGTAGAAGCTCACTGCCACGTCACACATCTCCTTTACCCTTGTAACCCTATCTCTAGTCTCGGAAATAAGGCTTGTGATGGTGTTTCTTTTCTGCCTCGTTCTCATAGATCTATGGAAATAGTTGCTATTTGAGTCCCCACCTTTTAACCATATCTCCCTAGATTTTTGCCTCAGAAATGATTCCTCAGCCTTCAGTAATGCATGTAGCTCCCTTGCTAATTGGACCTCCTCTTCAGCCAATGCAAGAGTAGGGTCAGCTAGTGTTAATTCTTGAATTGCCTCAAGCTCACCCTCCTTATCCTTCACTTTCTGCCTTAAATCAGAGTATTCCTCTTAATTAAGAACTTTAAGCATCCCTTTCAATATTTTGAGCTTTTTATAAACTTTCCCCATAGGGGAACCATTAACCTGTTAATTCCATGCTTCATGCAGCAGCTCCCTAAACCTTGGATGCTCCAACCAAAAATTAAAAAACTTAAAAGGTTTAGTTAATGACTTCAATGGCACCTCTGTTTGGACATAAACTGGACAGTGATCCGAGACTCCAGGTTTCTCCATATGAACCTTGCTATCCTTAAACTCATCTAAACAAGCCAGATTTACAAAAGCCCTGTCCAACCGCCTGGCAATAGGGTTACTAGCTTTCCTATTTAACCACGTAAACCAAGGGCCAGTGGACTTATGCTCCTCTACTTCCATCTCTATGAGCCACTCATTGAAATCAGTCATGCTTACAGACTGTGCAGGATTATTCGACCCCTCACTAGAGTCCCTAATTGCATTGAAATCCCCCATTATTAATCAAGGGCAATTTTGCACCTTCAGTCCAGCAATCTCTCTGTACATCTCCCTTCTGCCACCTTCTAAATTTGAAGCATAGATGAACGAAACAAAGAAAGGCACTACATCTCCCACCAGAACATGGACAAATTGCTCTGAGGATCCCAGAACTTGCACTTTGACTTCCTGTTTGCAGACCAACCACAGCTTCCCAAGACTATTTTCATTATAGAAAATCTTCTGCTTCCAATTCACAAATCTCTTCTTTAGCATCTCCTTTTTCATCAGCTAGCTTGACCCGAGGTTCTAATACCTCTACTAGATCAATAGTATACTTATTTATCTTTTTTAGCAAATTATTGTACTTACTATCATCTACAAACCCTCTTGTATTCCATGATAATATCTTCATTTACGAGGCCTACCCCTACCACCACCTTTACATCCTTTCCTTTTTACCTCAGGAGGATCAATCCATATGTTCTTCCCTTTGTTTGCTGCACTAGGAGCCATATTTTCCTTTTCTAGCACTGAAAACCTGGAACCCGTAAGTACTATAGCTCGAGCAGTGCCCTGAGCCTTTAAACTCCCTTCCATAGAAGATGGTTCAAAGCCCCCATGCTGTTGCACAGGTGTGACAGGATTCCCAGCTGTGGCTGATGATCCCTTCACCACCTCTGCAAAACTGACCCGAACTCCCCCATTTGATGGAGGGGAAATAGACTCAGTCACAACCAGAGTCGGCTCCTGAACTTCAATCTCCTCTTCTTGACTTGCCAAAATACACTGCAATACACTATTCTGCAAATCCCTTTATATTTCCTCCTCTTGTTCTGCCTCAGCAACCCCAGCCTCCTTTTGTACTTCCAGAGCAACTTCACCCTTCTCAGACTGCTTCTTCTGGACCCAAATACGCTTAGGATCCGATGCACAATTATGCCCAAACACTTGACACTTTGAACAGACCTGAGGTAGATTGTTGTACTCAATCCCAATTTCAAAGGAAGGATCACCATCTGGATATATACGAATAGTCTTAGGGAATGAGCAATCAGCTCCAAGCTCCACACAAGCACGCGCAAAACCTAGCTGACCCCCTACCCGAGTCTTTTGGTCCATCCAGAGAGGCTTACCAATCATACTTGCAACCCATTCCAATCCTTCCAAGGCCAAATACTCCAAAGGGAGCCCCCAGATTCGGTCCCAGATTGGCAGTGTTTCCACCTTAGGTACCACTGGCTGTATTCTCGACTTCCACTTGCGAAAGAAGATCGGATTTCCTCGCTAGTGCCATGGACCTGACTGGAAGACCCAATCACACGAAGCAGAAGAAGGAAATTGAAATACCAAGAGTTTTGCCCCAAACTTCGACACTCGTACCATGCCATCACGTCCCCACAACACGTTAGCCCATGACTGAAGCTCCAGTATCTTCGGACGAGATCCGACGAATTGCCCGATCAAAGAATTCATGCACCGCTCCGCTCCTTTCTCCTTCACCTCTTTCGGGAGACGATACCCGTCCTGAAATTTGATCGGAGGCCGATACTGAAGCCGATTCTCCGGGAAAACCTCGAAAAGCTGAGCCTAAGAAGAGCCCTCGCCAGCCGGGGCGGCCGACGGCGAGGCAGCCATCGCGGCAACCCTAGAAATCGGAAGCTTGAGAGAGAGAGAGAGAGAGAGAGAGAGAGAGAGAAATGTTTTTAAAAAATATTTATTTTCCTTCAGAAATATTATCAAGTGTATTCACAAAATAAATAATAATTTTTTAATTCATAAAGTACATTGATTCGTCGTTTTCATAGTTAACCACGATATTTTTTCATATTCTGAAAAGTTCATATAATACATTCATCATTAATGTTGCGGCTTACACCTTTTTCATTCTCCTGAAGAGGAGAAGAAAATTTAATTAAATCTTAATGGACTTTGATTCGAAATATTATAGTTAATTTGCATCCTTTTGTATTTGCATTGTATTTCATAACAACAATTGGCTAGTGGGTTAAGGCAACTTCTAATTAATTGCAAGGGTTTTCAAATTATGAAGAGTTCAAATCCTGTCAACAACAATATAATTTTCATTCCATAAAAAAAAAAAATCAATGTACTGATTTGCTCTAATTTCAAAGTCAAGCTTTGTCAACTGACCACCCTTAATAATGAATAGGTCTGCCCCTGTCTATATGTTTCATTTTCAAATTTCATTTTTCAAATTTCAATTTATTTTGGTGTTTTATACGTCATTTTAAGTCGTCTATCATCCTTTAATAAAATTGCTCATTCCAATTGCATGAGACATTATAATTATGCATATTTATTGTTCCAGATGGCTCTTGTAACCTTAATGTCTACCGTCTTAAGAAATAAAAATAAACTAAATTTTCTACCGGTTTCATTATGTCACCTAAACTTTTTACCATTGTCGTTACTCGTTATGTTACAATGTACAGAAAAGTGAGAGGTTTATGGAAAGACGGATTGACCAAAATGTGCCCCTTGTCTTCACAGATAGAATCCGTTATTTATGCCTTATCCATTCTCCAAACATTGGTAGCCACTGAACCAATTCAGAAAACAGAAACTGAATCCAAGCCACAGAGAAAGATACTCACCCAACGAAACGAAAATGAGTTCATCCCAGGAAGAGAAACAACGACACCACTCTCACTACTCTCTCCCAGCCTTTCTCCGCCATTGCTCTGTTCTTCACATTCTCCCATGGAAACCTTGCTTTCCTCTCACTCCCTCTCTTCCCCTTTCTTCAACCCAAAACCCAATTTCCCTCCACCTTCAATCCATCTCCACAAGCCCATCGTCACTTGCTCAACCAGCAGTACCTTAAAGAAGCAGACTTTAACGCCTGTTAAACCCTCTTCAGCAAAACCCACGAATTGGCTGGTTCATGCCCAACAAGGAATTGCAGCTCTCGCTCTCTCCTTGGCGCTCAGCTTTACTCCAGTGACGGCCAACAATGCTCTGGCTTCGGAGTTCGATGTGATCAATGAAGGCCCGCCCAAGGATGCTTACGTGGTGGATGACGCTGGAGTTCTCAGTAGAGTTACCAAGACTGATCTGAAGAATCTCTTGTCCGATTTGGAGTACAGGAAGAAGTTCAAGATCAACTTCATCACTGTCAGGAAGCTCACCGTGAGTGGATTCTAGATTTGCCCCGTTTTGATTCGTGTTAGTGGTTGGAAAAAAATGGGGATTTTATCTGATTGGAATGTTTTTTGGCAGAGCAAAGCTGATGCTTTTGAGTATGCAGACCAAGTGCTGGAGAAATGGTACCCAAGTGTTGAAGAAGGGAACAACAAAGGGATTGTTGTCCTGGTAACGAGTCAGAAGGAAGGTGCTGTTACAGGAGGTCCTGCATTTGTGCAAGCTGTTGGAGAAAGCGTTCTTGATGCTACTGTATCAGAGAATCTTCCAGGTAAAGCTTGTTCATTTTACTTGAATTGTTAGTTTCTGGATATGCCCTTCTGTGTCTCTAAAGTCACTAGATGGTTCATCTCAATAATTTTGGACTGTTGTAATCTAGTAGTGTATGGCATTTAGGGGTGAACGGTGAGCATGGCTTGTTTCGGTTCAAAATCGGATCAAATTGGCATAGGCTAGATCAAAATTTAAGTGGGAAAGAATGAGGACTATAGTCTGGAATCAAAAGCGCATTCTATCAATTGAACCGCAATGTCGATTTGATCCAATATGATCTGGTATGTTGGTTGCACACCATATGAGATGGCTGGGTTCTATTATTGACTCCAATTTAACCGCAATGAGATGACTCCATATGTGTCGTTCCTCGTCATTAGAATCTCATGTTGAATAAGATGGCTGGGTTATATCGTTGCTGCAGTTTTGGCTACTGAAGAGAAGTACAATGAAGCACTTTTGAGCAGTGCCAAGAGGCTAGTGGCGGCCATCGATGGACTCCCTGATCCAGGTGGTCCGACGGTGAAGGATAACAAGAGAGAATCCAACTTCAAGACTAAGGAGGAGACAGACGAGAAGAGAGGGCAGTTCACTCTAGTTGTTGGAGGTCTCCTTGTGATTGCCTTTGTTGTTCCCATGGCTCAATACTTTGCTTACGTTTCCAGGAAATAGGGTTGGTGCACTTCTTCCGTCACTCGAATCCATGATCGACATTTGTACAAAATACTATGGTCAAGTGGATGGTGGGAGTCTCTGAATGAGAGGATGATAACCAAGAAACAGTTTCTAGGCCTCTATTGAGTATTGATTTCCTCTTATTGAAACGTTTCGAGAGCAACCGTGTTTTTTTTTTTTTTTTAAATCTCATTGTGATGTTTACAGTTCATGTAAGCATTTCTAGGCCTTTTGAGAAAGAAGCAAACAGCAAGAGGTTATATTTGGCGTGAAACTCATGCTGTTGTTGCTGAGTATGTGTATGTTGTATAATGTGCACATTCTTAAACTTCTGTTGAGTGGCAAACTCCATCATTGTCTAAACATTGCTGTAGACTTGTACTAGTTTCTATCAGTGGTTATAACTTACAAGTTTCAAGGAGGGTTGAATAGCGACCTAACCGTTGGATATTTTCAGTGCTCATAAAATGTGGTTTCTTTTGTTTCAATTTTTGTCTATGGTGCATAAACTTGCACCAGAAGGTCTGCTCAATTATGCATCTGGTTTCAGTTTGCTCACAGATGTATAATAGGTGTACGGCAACTAACATCTGGGAATACCTGAACAACAATAACTTCAAGTGACAAAGTCGATCACTGTTAGAATGCACTTGTATTAGATCCTATCCTTTTGTAATAAGTTTTACAGGCAGGAGAAGGAATACGATGTTGGAGTAAAAGAATGAAGCTGTTAGGGCAATCGATCTCAGCAAGCTGTGTTCAGAACTTGAGACTGAGAGCAAATGGCATTTTGTCAGCGAACGGCCGGTCAGAATATTTTCCGGTGAGTATTTCCGACGAAATATACTGGTTTGCAGCTTCAGTGTAGTGAATCCCATCCCAGTTCACATACTCGGTACTGTCATTGCACGAATTGGCTGTAACTGTCGTGTTGTTGATGACTTTTGTTTGCCCACATCCAACTCGACTATCGTAGTTCAGTGGTGGTCCTCCATAGCCGCAGCAAGCCATTATGGGCTGCGCAAATCCTGCAAAGGATGATGACAATATCACGCAATCGTTCCTCGCAATTTGCATTCCGCAAGCACAAAGGAACATAGCACATTATCAATGCGGTAGGAGACAAGAAGCATTACCATATCTGGAGTAGTTTGCAATAAGGTTGGACTTGATAGTGTAGATATCGACATGTGTGATGTTTGAATCAGCATACTGAGCTTGCAGCTTCTTAGTCAGAGCATGAAGCTGCAGATTGAAAAGCTTGGCAGCTTGATTATGCCCAGCAACACAGCCTAGCTCGTCGAGCTTGGACGGATCAGTACCGAATTTCGCCACATTCTGAGCCAAACATCCTAGAGGACCGGTGTTGTGTATCCAGAAGTTCCTCGCTCCTTCATCGTACAATCTCTAGAACAAGAATGGACGTATGTTTAAGTTTTGGAAGCAGAACAAGGGAGGGAGAAACGGTTCAAAGGAGATGGGAGTTAAGCGATGAATAGCTATACAAAACCTTGATTCCATTCTCGAACTCAAATAAGGAGGTTGGGATCGAGGCGACGATTTGATCGTAGCTCTTGGAGTAAAATGCACCAGCAAGATCATTCTGGCCTATATCAAACATGTACAAGCCCTTCCGGAAATAGTCCTCAGCTGGAAGGTACTTGTCAAACTTCTTACCTATAGTTGAAGGCCAAACAAAAGTGGAGATCAGTGAAAAGCCCTATGCCAAAATTCTGAACCATTTTGAATCAATCCCCAAATGGGTCAAAAGCACAAACTTTTGGTGAGCAATTCGACTACACGAGCTTTGAATCGCAGAAACTGAGACACTTGAATCCCAAATGAGAATGGGCAGACTGACGTTGGTGTTGCTGGATTTATGGTTGAACCAGCAGCTGCAAAGTTGCATCCTCTTCGGAAATTCGGCAACCCAACAGCTTCCAGATATGCACTTAGAAACGGTAGATCAAAAGCATCCACTGCCAAATCCAAACCAGTTCACATTATTAAACCCCGTTATCCAAAATCAGCAGGTGAGTAGCAGGGGGGAAAACAGAGCAAGGAAAAACAGAGTTTCAGATTCCGAAAAAAGGGCCCAGGAAAAGTACTGATGAAATCGATAGTGAGTCGGCCATCGCAGTATCTCCCAGAAGGACCCTTGAAGTGAATCTGACCATAAGGAGGATTGATGGTTTCGATCCCGGCGGCAATGAGATTGCCGGTGTCAGAGTTTGAATCACCAAAGTTGAAGATAGATGGGAAGTTGAAGTCTATGGAATGAGACATTGGGGCGAACATAGAGACCAAGGCAAGAGCTTGGAGAAGAACAAACAACAAAAATTTGGTTTCCATGAGGAAAGAGTTACTTAGAGCTCTAGAGAGCAACAACCAAGACCTTTTAATATCCAACAAAGGGAACTAAGGTGTTGGCTTTCAGAACAAAGAAGGCTTTGATGTTAGTTACTCACCAACCAGAGCGACAAAGCAAAATGAAGGTGGTGGGTCAAATTATGTACCACAAAGGTTTCTATTTTGAACTATTTGAAGCAATGAACCAAAAGAAGAGCCCTGTCCATTGAAGAAAAGGATAAGAAATCAGAAAAAAGATTCCATCTTTTTTGTTAGGTTATAGAGGTTCCATGTACAAAACTGCTACAAACCATATGCTTAGACAGTGAGAGTGATGAGAGAAAATTATGTACTTAGGAAGTCTGTCCATAGGGGAGGCGAAGACGAAAGCCAAGGCCAGCAGCGAGGTCTCCTGTGTCGGAGTTTGAAAGCTGCAGGATAGTTGGAATCAGTGGAGGTTGCTGAATGTGATAGGAAGGATAGTATGATGATGATCAAAGCATCGAGAACAATGGAGCAGCTCTTGGCAGCCATGGGTACAGATGTAGTAGAGCTTTAGTGCTATGGTAACACAAAACCCAAGGGTGCAAATGCAATGATAAAAAGGATATTTGGATGCTTTATATTGGATGATTATATCTTTCATGTTTTGAAGGAAAATGGCTGCAAAAAAGCAAAGACAGAAGGAATGGTATCCGGGACGGCGAGTTAAGGCAGGGACACATTTTCCCCCTCAAAGCTTTGTTTTCTTGCAAATATTATCTACTATATTGTGTACACTTCTTTCCTTTCAGAGTCCTTCCATCTGCCCGTGAGACCATTTTGTCAGTAACCCTGCGAATGCAGCAATCTATTTAAGGCCAATAATAAGCTTCTTCCTCATTCACAGGCATCATTACTATTTCAACTTTTCTTGGTATATCATCAAGATTACCCAAATCGAGATTTTTTTGCTAATTTTTGTGCACAATATGGGGAGCTAATCACTGCAGGGAAACAAATCAACCCTGTATCATTCATTTCAAACAAATCATCCAAATACGTGGCCCAGACCAGTAAGCTAAGTGTTAGTTGCATAATTAGGCAGGAATGACGTTCTGATATTTGTTTAAGCACAAGTCTTGATTTCGATAAAACCCCAATAACCATTATCTAGCACCGCACGAAACTTGGAACTCTTCACATAAGTCTGGCATATGGGCTTGACTATGCAGGTTTGTCGAAAGCAGCAATGTTCTGGGGCTCGCACTCAGGACTAAAGAGGCGTACCAGCATCGCTGTGGATGAACTCACGGTGACTGCTCCACAAGCCGCCCACCGTAGCGCCCTCGGCGTGGTGACTCTGGGACCTGGGTAAAAGGAGAATCAGTATGATAATGAAAAGAGGAAGGAACGTAAAGAGGGAGAGAAAGGGAAGTTGGTGAGGCCATTACCGTAGTGCAACCTGCATAGAATCCAGAATCCGAATGCTCCACCGACGGAGAAGATTCCAGCGGTGTGCCTCATGAGCCTGGAGCAAGGCTTGCAATCGGACCTCATCAGTTCTCCCTCTGAGAACCCAAAGTAGCGTCTTAACGCCATTTCCTCTCTCCCTCACTGTTTCCCTGAGAAAAGCCCCCGGCCACAAATTGGAAAATCAGCGGGTTGTGGTGCATGATTCCGGGATTGATACTGGTTTACTTTACTGAGTGGGTGTGGCATTTTATCGAGCAGTTGGACGGCACACGAAAAGAAGATGGAGGATCGAGGAAAAAAGCCCAAAGTGAAGAACAGAAGAATTCCACTTCTAACGCGACAGAGAAGGTAACGGATTCATCATACTATTCCAAAATCAGAGTACCTTATCCTTATGTGATGCCGCTTCTGCTACTGTTTACCCTTCTTCTTCTTGTTTCTCAAGTCTTAACACGCCGGAGAATTGAGAAAGGAAAGGCTTCAGAAGCAGAGCCGTCAGTCAGCCGAGTAAGTCAAGGAGTGGTAATTGGTAATTACTAATTAGTACATGTAAATCCAATCAAGGGAGGCCTTGAACGTTTTGGGCCGTCAAGAGAGTTTCCGTAAGTTGGCCTCCGCGGCCCAATATTCTTTGTGGCGGCCCTTGTTTGTATGGCCTCGACGCATTGTCTACTAATCCATTACTAGCAAGACCTGCTCATTATACTTATAAATTTACAAGAATGATCTCTTGTCCACAAATCTATGAGTAGTCGCAATTATAGGTGTCAATCGGGCGGGTTCGGGCTGGGTTCAATCGGGGTCGGGTTCAATCGGAGTCGGGTTCAAATGGGTTGCGGGTTAGTCGGGTTGCGGGTTCGGGTTCATCGGGTTCGAGTTCAAACGGGTTGCAGGTTAGTCGGGTTGCGGGTTCGGATTCAATCGGGTTGCGGACAAATCGGGTTGCGGGTTCATCGGGTTTTGGATCGGGCGGGTTGCGGGCGGGTCGGGTTTCGGGTTGTTCGGGCCAGCGCATCAAGTAACTTAACTCATTACTCATTACCAACTTACACATTTTATTACACTAATTTAAAATATTTTCTCAACTTTTTAACCAATTTATTTCTACCTCGTATATATATACTTTATTTTTTTGAAAAAAATAGTCAAAATGTTAAATCAATTTGTATGACTTGCAAACTTGTTATGTAATTAATCATAATTGGTAAAGTATTATAGCTAATAGTAATGGTGATATCAATATTTGCAACCAAAAGACACCGATAATTGTTTATTTGATATTTTAGTATTAATTCAGTAGTAATTGAATTAAAGTATCTCGTTTAGTATAACCATGCAAATCTGGTATTTGGCGTGTGGTATTTGGCAAAAGCATAGTGATAAAAGGAGTTATTTCAAAATAACTCATTGCCCAAATAACTTTAGTAAACTGTTGCCAAACGAGTTATTTGTAAAATTGTTCGAATTATCCTAAAAATTGAACCATTAAAGATTAGCTATCAAATTTAGTAAAATTATTGTGACTTCAATCATAACTTACTCAATAGCATATATCCTATACACTTAGCTTTACCCTCAATCAACAATATTAAGTTAGTATATGTTGTTGATCGTATACCCTAAACCATCAATACATTATACACTACCCACATAACCTATACCCTAACCATATGTCCTTGAGTTGTGATTTTGCTAGTATAGTTAATTTAAAAGTGAAATTCATATTTTGATTTTCAAAACATAGATAAAAAGTGATATTTGCTAATTGTTATACCCTAACCATATATCCTATACTTTATACCACCTACCTTGTACCCTAACCACGTACCATAAACATAAATAAAAAGGGATCTCCTGCCGTTAAAGACTTCAAATGACTTCAAGTGAACATATGTTAATAAAAAACTTAGAACCGTCAAAACCATCAATATCTTATACCCTAACCATATACACCCTAAACCATATGTACCTTATACCTTATACCCTAACCATATACTTTATATCCTAAACAACGAACCGTCAAAAATTACTTATCAAGTTTAGTATAATTGTTGTAACTAATGGTTAATTTATTTATTAGCCCATAAAAAATTACATACATATATACATATTAGCCTTTAAAGCATAAAAGAATAATTTTAACTAGTCATGCCCTCCATATAAAAGTTAAAGATTCATATTTCAAAAGCTAAAATTATGAAAAACCAAAAAATTGAAAACACCAATTTGTTTCCTTCTTTCTTTTCACAAAAATACTAAAATTTCCCTCCTTCTTTCTCCTTCCATACATTAGAAAAACTCAATTTTCCCTCCTCTTTCTCTTCCATAAAATTGAAAGAACCAAATTACCCTCTTCTTTCATTCTACAAAAAGTTGAAAAGTCAAAAGTTTTCCTCCTTATTTCTCTTTCATAATCAAAAGAATCAAACGTTCCCACTTCTTTCTCTTCTCACATATCAAAACCACCAAAATTCCCACTTGTTTATTTTCTAAAAAATTCGAAGAACCAAATTTTCCTCTTCTTTCTCTTCCCAAAAACTTGAATACACCAAAATTTCCCTCTTTTTTTAAAACATCAAATTACCAAATACAATACTTTACTTTATTTATATTTAATTGATAATTTTATTGAATAGTTAAATTAACCAAAAATTTAATTTATATATTATATTAATATTGTCATGATCTCAAGTGACCTTCATGTTTCAATTTTTGTAATTTTCTTAAAATACGTAATATCAAGTGAGTTTCATATTTTTAAAATTTCTTATACGAAATGAAAAAATAATTTTACTTAAGTTTAGAATGAAAAACTTTATTTTGAAAAACTATGTATTGTATATTTTTATAATTATTCAAGTGGATTAGATGAAATTCGGGTTGAGTCGGTCGGGTTACGGGTTAGTCGGGTTCGAGTCAATCGGGTTCGGGTTAATCGGGTTGCGGGTCAATCAGGTTCGGGTTAATCGGGTTGCGGGTTAGTTGGGTTGCGGGTCAATCGGGTTGCGGGCCGGGCGGGTTACGAGTTGCTGACTTTTAGTCAATTCGGGTTGCGATCGGGTTGCGGGTCGGGTTGATCGGGCGGGTTAATCGGGCCGGGCTATGTTTTGACACCTATAGTCACAATTATGCTTATAAATTTACACGAATGGTCTCTTGTCCACAAATCTATTAATAGCACTACTAAATTGATGGAGTGAAATCATCAAGTTCCTCCCACTTTTGATTAACAACTGATACATACAACATTCATGAGGGTAGTTGACTGAACAAAAAAGAAAACGCCGTTTAGAAGTTACTATAAGTGGATTTATAATGAAGGACAAACTGAGGTTATTTTCATTAGCTTCTCATAAGAATAATCCATTCAGAGTAAAAGGGTCAATGGATGAAATGAATACAATTTGCTTTCCTTATAAGTTAAATGAAAATAGCATGTTTAGTACTAAGAGTGGATGACAAACATATCTGGTTACAAACAATAAAAAATAATTTATATGACTCTGCAGGCTAAATACTGAATGCTTGGAAGTTACAAACATATCTGGTTAACGTTAAAAAATCATCTTACCTTCTAAGTACTAAGAGTGGATGACAAAGGCACCAAAGGACATTATATTGGCAAGCTACTGAGCATGTTGAATTAACTGTTATCGTAAGCAGGCTTTGGGCTATTCTTGTTGGTTTCAAGTTCTCTGACCACCCTACTCCTTCCCCAACGCTCAATTCTAGCTCTATCTTGTGTCGTTGCTTCACCATCTAAAACCAACCACAAACAACAAACAAATCAAGTATAAAAATGAGGGTTAAGGAAAGGGGGGAAAAGTCCTCTCTATCGAAAATAAGGAAAAGTTATGTTGTGGTAAACATTGAAGCAAATATGTTGAAATATATGGTTGTATACGGGCTCGTTTGCTTGTTGGATTTGAAATGAGGGTTTTGAGTTTTAAAAACCTTTGGATTTATGATAAATTTGTTGCATTATGGATTTGGAAGAGTACATTGTTTGTTTGGTTAATTTTTATCATGGATTTGTCTCGCAACTTTGGCTTCCATGATCAAATCCATGGGATCTACGAATTTGGATCTAAATCCGTGACCCCCACGGATTTGTGTCCCTTAGCAAACAGTGGAGTTGTCCCAAATCCATGATGCTTGGGATTTGGGTGACAAATCCATCACCCAAATCCCACAAGCAAACGATACAGTAAGTGCTTTACCAATAACACTCGGAAACAGGAAATTGAATTAGGAAAGTCCCAATGCAAAGTATGAAATAAATAGCAATGCAATGTTGGTGTCCTTTAGACTTAAAGTGAAGCAAATAAATCTACAGAGGAGGGGGACTTAAATACCTAAACAACCGAAGACTGCTAAACAATCAACATTAAAGGAACCTTCTATAACGTCAGTTACTCTTACTGTGTTGTGATGTCAACAAATTGTTAGTACAAACTTAAATGTGCTTAGTTAGTTCATTAAGTAGAGTAATAACATTAACGTAGAAAGACATCCTGATGATTATTTGGAATCATCATATAGGATGATCGGACATGATTAACAGACTCAGTTTCTGGATTTGATTTGGATATATATAAGATCCATGTAGACTCTGCAAGCAAGCTGAGTGCGAGAACCTCTCACATTCAAAGAAGCAAACATCAAGCACATTAATCAATTATTATATCGAACATCATTAATGTTGTAAACAAAGAAACCAAATTGTGATTCTCTCATGCAAAGGAATATATAGGAGATTTAGTGTGAAGCAACAGAATTAGGAAGCAAGGAGGAAGGAAACAAAACCAACATCATCGATTTTACATACCAGGTATGTTAGTTTGTTGCCTTCCCCCATCTAGTTTCCCAAACAATCCTACTCATCTCCAAGTTGATGATTTTCATAGACACAACAATTGCACTCCCCCACTCTAAATAGACAATTCACAGGTAAGTCAGTAAATTACGCAATATAGGGAAACACCACCTCCTTCCCTTAATAACATCTCTAGACTATAGTCTAACATATATAGCCAAAATCCAATCTTTACTTTTGAAAAAAATAGATGCAGTAGTAATGTGATATCATCGAGATATCTAATTCAAGTTGAGTGATTTTCATGAGCCTAGGTCATGGAGGAACAAAGTATGAAATACAAAGGTAAGGAATTGAAAAGTATGATATCTGATTACATCATCATATAAATAGGCATGTCAAATGGGTCTTAGGGTATGAGTTTTACCCAAACCCAATAGAATTTGGGTCAAATCAGGTTTTGGGTTTTTCTGTTTTGGAGCAGACCCATACCCATCCAATTAAATTGGGTCCAAGATAGGCCTAGAAAATTAATAAAAAAAAAATTCTACAGAACCCAAACGGGTCTCTTCATCCTTCGACCTAATACGCTGAACGAGAGCAATTGCTTTGCTTCTTCACCATCGTATCCCGTCGCCGCCGCCCGCCTGCATCCAGGGTCTTCTCGTGCTGGTCTCGATCTCCAGGGTATATTGGTTCTGGGTTTGCGTCGGCAACGGCGAGAGGAAGCTTCGCGGCACAATCTTCGCGGCGAG